TTACTAATACTGAGATCATTTTTATTATTGAAATTGGGTTATCAGAAAAAGTGCTGAATCAGGGTATAGTTCTATAAAGCTGATTGTAATCAACTATAAATACACGTCCAAATAGTTTCATTGAGCGAGTAGTTTAGTATTTAGAATTATTGATATAATGTTAGCAAGAACTCATGAATTTTTGTTTTATTAGTAATAAGCATGTAATAGTAATAAAGCATTTTATTGAACAACAATTAACTAGAATTAATACAATTGAAATAGTTCAACATGACATTATATGAAATAATTTTTCAGGTCTAAAATATATTCACATTTTACAACACTGATTTTCATTATCAAAGATTTAAATATGTATGACAGTAAGTTTACATATTACCATGGTTACTAAAAATGATTGTCAATCATCTCAATAATCCGTTCTAATTGCAGATGAATAAATTTCCTATTGGTACTTACTAAAATTGATAACTACTAGTAAAACTGTTTTCGCCAAATTCAGAGTTTTTCACCAGTGTAACTCAATACGAAAGTAATAGATAACTTGATTATGACGAATGACAATAGTGTTTTATATCAAATAACTCGATTTAAAAGTTTTTTCTGTCTCTGGCTCCTCTTGATGGATGATACGCTCTTATTAGTTTGTTTCCGGAATTTAATTTGATAAACTTGAATTTCAAATATTATTTAGTGATCCGGACAAGTCATAGAAACCTGTTCTTTGTTGATCACACTAAACTAACTAGAAACAAATCAAAGAATATAATTTTAAAATAAAAAAATTACAATGAAACAAGAATAGATGATTTAGCAATAATGTACGGTACACTTGTTATTTACAGTAGTTTTTTGAAGATGACAAATTTATAAACACCTAAAGTAAAATACAGCTTTCTTCACATACTGAAATTGGTAGAGCACGTGATTAATAATTCTCCTAGTTTACAACCAATCGGTACTAGGCAAGCAGCTTTACACCTGTGATCAGACTCAAGAACTTCATACCTCACAGAGAACCCGACGCATTTACATCACTGATTTGAATTATAATTACTTGAATTTCAAATTTATGTTACCGAGATCACCTAACATTATTGGTCATAAATGGTAAATTGATAGCAAAGTTAACCTAATCATATACAATAGCTGACATGAACTTTGGGAAACTGAAATACTTTGGTTTTTTCTACCCAATTCGGTTTGTAGAGTATAATGTTTATGCTTAGAAGATAATTTGTATCATAAAATAATCCCACTTGAACAATTGATAAAAGCCATAAAGTAATGAGTACAAATGAGTATGGAATGACAAACTTAAAGTGAATAATATTCCGTTATCTGGTTCTTCTCAAGTTGTCTCAATTAAATTGTTTTAACTATAAGAGTAAAATTTTTTCTTAGATGAATTTGTCAACCATTGAACAAAATAAGCGAGAAAAATTTATCTTTCATTAAACAATTTACAGGTAATAGAATAAACAGCTTATGATAAACCTCCAGGTAATTACTATTCGTATTCGATAACAGATAATGTTGTAATTTTGAAAACGTAATAAAACTTGAGCTTAAATTGTATTTCAAACCAATGAAAACGTTCATCTTATTAGAATCATATTTTTATTAAATGACACATTGATTAACAATTGATCTTGACTATGCTTATTTACGCCCCTTATGGAGGAATATAAGTTGCCCACCAGTATTCTCCATCCAACTGTGACCTGCGCAATCCTATCCAGTTGTTTCTAGTTGCTCCTTATTCTCGTCACGTCTGCTTCTGATTCCCAACGTACTGATTTCTTCGTCCTTCCACTTTTCCGTTTCCCCTCAAGACTAAACGTTAGTGCTTGCCTCATGATGCAGTTTTGTAATTTCCGCAATGTATGTCCTATCCACTTTTGACGTCTTTTCCTAATTTCCTCCTCAGCTGGAACCGAGTTTGTTCACTCTCATAGCAGTCTATGGATGATGGTATCCAACAAACTGTCATTGAGTATCATACGTAGACAAGTGTTTATAAATACTTATACATGTTTGTTGATGATTGTGGTAGTTATACTACTTTCATCTCTGTACAGTCGAACTGTCTTGAAGTTCATATTGAAGATTCTTACTTTGGTGTTGGTTGACAATTGTTTTGAGTTCCATATGTTCTTCAACTGTCGGAATGCTGCATTTGATTTGCCAATCCCTGCATTTACGTTTTCATCGGGTCCTCCTTATTCATTGATGATACTGTTCAGATATGTGAAACTTTCCACCTCTTCCGGAGTTTCTCCATCAAGTGTGATTGGATTAGTGTTCTCCAGATTTTATTTGGAGATTTTACTTTTTCCCTTTTGTATGTTGAGACACACGGATGGAGAGGCTACTGCTACACTAGTTGTTTTCATCTGCATCTATTTATGTATATGGCATAGATGAGCTAGGTCATCGGTAAAGTTCAAACCTTCTTATTGAATCCAAACTGTCTATCATGTTTTGCGTTTCCACTCGGATATCGAGGCCTTCATAACCCAGTCAACCACCAGAGGAAAGACGATGGGTGAGAGTAAGCAGCCCTGTTTGACATTGGTGCTCATTTCGAGTGCAACTGTCAGCTGTCCTCCATACACGATTTTGCACTGTAGTTTGTCGTATGAATTCCATACGATATTGACGATCGTCTCAGGTACACCATAATGTTGAAGAACTTTCCATAATCTTCTCCTATACACATTGTCAAACGCCTCCTCATGGTCAATGAAGTTGATGTATAGTGATGAGTTTCATTCAAATGACTGTTCAACGATGATATGTATTGTCACGATTTGGTCTGTGCACGACCGATCTTTACAGAATCCGGTCTGTTGATCTAGATGTTGAGCGTCTACCGAATCTTTTATTAGGTTCAACAACGCTCTGTTGAATTCATTTCGTGATACTGACAGTAGTGTGATGAGTCTGTAGATGCACATTTGCTTAGATATTCTTTCTATGGTATCTTGATGAGGTGTTCTTCCTTCCAGTCTGTTTGTGACAATTGTTCCTTCCCTCCAATTCTTTCTGACTAAAACATGAAGCATGTTTGTAGTTACTTCTAAGTCCAACTTCAATGTCACGACAGATACAATGTTCGTTGCTTCTGCTTTCCTATTCTTGATATCTTTAATGGCTTCCTTCATTTCCATGATAATTCTGCTTTGATGTCCACTAGACTCAATGCCGCTGGTCTTTTTAAGAGTTCCTTGAAGTATTTCACTCATCTGTTACTCTGTTCTTGATTCTCAGTGGTTGACTTGCCTTCTTTATCCTTGACCAGTCTCTCTGGTTTACTATATATCCTTACCAGTTTCTTCGTCGTGTCATATAGTTGTCTGATGTATCATTCTCTTGCATCTTTTTCCGTTGTCGTTGTTAGGTCTTCCACGTTCTTCTACTTGTCGGCCCTAGTGCTTCTCTTTACTTGCTTGTTTGTTTCTATGTATTCACATTGTGCATTGGCATTTTTCTATTCTCGTTCGGCTGCTGTTAATTACTGTCTTCTTGTTCTTCCTCTCCTTGAATCATGTCCAGGATTGCGATAGAGATCCATTCCTCATAAAGATGTTTGTTGCCAACCGACATCTCCTGACACGTTGAAATTAGTGCTCCTTTAATCCTTCTTCCGGTTGTCCTCCATGGTACTTTCATCTTTTCTCGAAAGATCTTGTAGGGCTTGGAACCTGTTGATGAGTGGTATTTTGAATCCGTTGAGTTTGTCAGTATCTTGAAAGAAGGCTGTTTTGAGCCTTTGTACTGCTGTTTCCCCACTTGTCCAGTGTCTTTTTAGCTTCAGTTTCATCTTTGCCACAACCAGGTAGTCATATGAAGCTATATCAGCTCCTCTCCTGGTCCTCACGCTTTCCATGACCTTCTGAAATTTTTACTGACAGAAATATAATTAATCTTATTCTCTGTACTTTGATCCGATGAGGCTTATGTAGCTTTGTGTAGGCGTTTGTCGGTTAATATTTCTGTCACATTTTAACTATCGAAGCGTTTATTTAAACTGTTACACAGTATTGTTATCATATTTTGATTCGTTTTAATGATTGATGGTTTCAACTGAAAGTTACTGAATTTTTGAATTCATTAATCCTAACAGTAATTATATAAGCCACTTATTGGTTAATAGATTAATCAAAATGAACTAATCTTATGAAATTACTAACATAAACTAAATTTTTCCCAAAACTGTATACACAAGAACTCAATGATATAAGTGCATGAAATAAAATCATTTCCGATTCTTATCATATGATATCAATGAATGATTACATGAGAAGTAAATACAAATAATGTATACATAGAATGAAGCTTCAAAAGAAAAGTAACCAAATTCATCCCATATATAATATTGTTTCTAGAAAAAAGAAAAACCTAAAAAAAACAAAATATAAATAAATGAATCGACAATAAATATCATTCATATCATTTTATTACTAGTTTCATTGATAGTAATATAAATAGTTTTCATTCTATACAACAAGAAAAGTAAGAAATTTAATGTATATATATTCCACAATTGACCATCCCATAGATTTGAAATTGTTTTTCTTTTCATTTTTGTTTTCTTCATTTTGTTCTTCTTTTTTCTTTATTAAATAAACAGTTAGTTCATTTGATAGTTAATACATTGTATATATTACCAGTGTTATATTTAATAACCAATCATATTTTACTGAAAGAAAAAAGAAAACTGAAAAAAAAGAAAAATCAGTTTTATGCAGATTTTTTTTTGTTTCTTTTAAAATTGAAATATAACCATTGAACAAAGAATTCCCTTCATAATGAATAATCCATCTTTAATTATTTACAGCATAGTAATTATTCCTAATTATGTCACTAAACATTTAAACAAACAAATTGTAATACATTGAATATTGAACAAAAGAAATTACATTTCAACATTAACTAAAACAAAACAAAGTTTTTAAAAAAAATCATTTTTCGAATGATGTAATAATCTTTAATCAATGATTTCATTACATAATAAAATACAAAATAATCATTCAAAACATATCAGATTTAATAATCATTTATCATTTTCCCCATTGATTATAACAAATCAATATCCATCAGATTTCAATGTTAATTGTTCATCGAATTTAATCATTAATAATATTGTACATTTAGATACAATATTTCATTTATTACATCATTATAATAAATCATTATGGAATAAACAAAATCTTAATAAAAACTTTAAACACTATTCAATTATTTCTAAGATATTCAATTTAAATAATCCTCTTTATAAGAATTTATTGTAAGTAGTATTTTTTAAAAACAGAAAATAAAAATTAAATTTTTGTTTTAAATTTATTGATCATTTAAAATATTAAAAAAAAAGTTAATAAATAACAAACAAATACATGAAGATTATGTAATTTTTATTAAATATTGATTATAAATAAGATATATCATTTCAATAATTGAGATCATGAAACCATTGAAGGTAAACCACTATGAAAAACTTGGAAGTATTGGATAGATGTTTCGGTTTATTGTGCGCACAGCTCATACATGAACTTGACTCATCAGATTCAAAACCTGTACTTTTAGGTTTTTCATGATGGTCTCACTTCAGTTCACTCACGATCTCAACTATGAAAATTAATATAATGTCCATAGAAAACCCATTCTGTTACTAATCACTATATGCTCACTAGTAACTGACTTCAAGAGTTCTAGTGAGAAGTAGTGACCAGTGGAGTTCAACCAGGTCTTTTGTGAGATAGTAACTCACTGAAGGCAATGGTGGATGTATCGCTCAATTTTGTGGATTAGTTGAAGTTAGACATTAAAACTGTTGGATGCCGGCCGGCTCAGTGGTCTGAATGTTAACCGTTCGCGTGCAAGATCAATAGGTCGTGGGTTCAAATCCTGCGAGATTGAATCGTGGATGCTTACTGATGAGGAGTCTCAAAATAGGACGAAACGGCCATCTAATGCTTTCTGGTTTTCGATAGAGGTCAAGCTTTAATCGACTCATGAATTCAACCATTAAATTACTATTCATCTTAGACTAACTTATTACTGTATGCTTTATTATTTAGATGACTGTGAAACATTGAGTGAAGCCAAAATAAACATTATTCATATATTGTATTGAATTCTAATGTTAAATTGTTTGTTAGAGTCAATCTTGTTGAGTTATACTGTAAAATTAGCTGTGTTAGACTAAAATTTAGTTTCATTCAATTATAAATGTTTGTTTAATAGTTCATTAAATTAGATCATCCACTAACATTTATTAAAATATTCGAATATCGTGTGCTTGATTACGAGTACAAAAAATAAGTGTTTATTAACAAATTTTATTTGGTTGGGCGAAATTGGGAGAAATAACTTCATCCATGTTTTCTTGACATTTTTCACTTATGGATAAGATGTAAATTCAATTGTCGAATAACCTTTGGTTGTTCATACATTCGCAAACGTTTGACTCATAGTCTCAGTGAAACGCTTTTACCACTGTGTTATTTAGATGACGTGTGATCTGTAAAAACAAGATAGCCTCATTGAACTGTCATCCACCTGTGCATCAGAATATCAAGTCAATCACGTTAGTAGTTAGACTGTAACTTGATCAGTATACTCCGATTTGTACCGCAAACTGCTAGCTATGACTTCGGATACTACTCAGTTCTCAAGTAGTACATAATACTATGATGCAACATTAACTTTATTGAAAGGAAAAATCCAGTAGGAATGTTTTTTGAAACCGCATGGAACGACACTTTATTATATTTAAAGATATATTTGTTTTGCAATTGGTTTCTTACAGTTCATTGGTTTAGCCGTCTCAATAGAGATTAGATTCGTCAGTAGGTGTAGTCTTGACAATCAGTATGTAATTTGAAAAGTTGAAACAGTTTACATATACCCGAGACAGAACTAACAATCAAAACTCTAAATGAATATTCTTATCTCTTTTTGGTTATATTGGTTCATCCGATTCAATAATGCAAAATGTCAATAATGCCTTGCATCTATTGAAAAATTTTGCTTTATGATGCTGGTACTATCCGATACCCCGTTTAATCTCTAGGTGGTTGTGGTGTTTTAATGCTCAACGAATAAACTATTTAGTTAAATGACTTTTGAAATGAAAGTCTCTTTTAAGGGGCTAATATCCATTGATTTAATAAACTACATTTTTACTTACTGAAACAAGCATCAAGTGCAATATAAAACCTTTTGTACATACTGATGCAGTGAGTAAGAACAACAGCATCGATAAATCGATTTCTCAGTCAGTCATATTGTTCACTAAATAATACAATCAATACGTAATAAATATTTATTTCCGGATCAATTTTATACAGTATTCAAGGCTTTTTCGTCCTCATTACTACATATTTTCAATAGTTAATAATACTGTTCAACATAGCTAGGGAACAAACAACAATTACTGACTAGATATCGCAGATACCATCAAAACAGTTATCGCGTAGTACAGCCATAAAGTAAAAACAATGTCTAGTAAGTTCAATCAGAGATTTCTTTATTTGTTCTGAAATAAGATAATTCTTTGAAAAAATATATGCAAAGTAAATAATAAAGCTCTTCATAAATCTTTTAGCATTTGATTTTGTAATCAATGTAAAATGTATATATGGTAAGCGATTTAGCAAGCATATGTCTAGATTTATTAAAGATAAATGCATGCTTAAACTTTCTAGTTCAGTAATTTATTTTCTTTATCGAATAGAGTTATGCTATTTAAGAAATCAGTAATTATTCAATAATTTCAATCACACATACCCTTCATACTACTGAACATTGAAATGATTTATGAATATTTATGTAAGTTTAGTCATATAGTATATCAGTATAAGTTTACTTTATATTCTGACATGTATGATCGATAACAAATATTTCTTATGAAAATAATGAGTACCAAGTACTAAGTGAAACAAGAAGTGATCTAGTCCATAAAACGAATAGGGGTTGAGGTCAAAATCTCCTTATAATGAAGTTTCTTTAGTTTCTTCTTTATTACATTTCACTTTGTAATGTATATGAGTGAAATAACCAAGAGAACAAGAATAAGAAGAAACATTATTATTAATTATCAACTATCAGGTTTTTATACAACTCTAAACATGGTAGCGACATTTTTTAAGTAAAGTAATATGAGTGGGTGTCGACTATGGTGTACCTCTGAAATATTTGCTGTGATATATATATATATATATATATATATATATATATATATATATATATGCATGATGTTAACAATAATATAATGTAGCATACCATTTAAAGAAAAGGTGAATTTTATCCGGGAAAATCGATCATTTCAGTGTCTATTTAATGATTATCATTAAATTTATAGATCAAATGTATGTATGTATCTGTGTATCTGTGTAATCACAACAACTTTTTATAAGTTGGTTATCACAAGATAAAATTATTTCAAATTCACTATTACTTACAGAACAAAACTAAGATTGGTAACATTAATAATAATAAACATTGTGATATATATATATATATATATATATATATATATATATATATATATATATATATATATATATATATATATATATATGTATACACGACCAATGCTTCATGAGGTGCGAAACAAGCAGGAGTTAGGCAGTGATCATGTAGCTGTCAAATTTAATGACAACAAAGTTGAAAATATTGTAACGTGAGTTACATTTTTATAAGTATTTAATAGATAAACCGAATAGATTGGTTGATATTTTAATCAAATTAGTACATTCTCCACCCAATATATAAATGTATAATTATGTATTATAGGTGAGATTTATATCAGTTAATATAGATTTGTTTCGGATGGTTTTGATTCACAAAAGTCGTTAATTTTACGAAATATTTTGTAATCTTTTATTACTAGTCAAATTAAGTGTTATTAAGCTATGTCTATACAACTGAGTTGTTTCATGCAAATCTTTTGGTTATGATTCAATCTTTGAATCAAGCAGGTTCAAAAAGTTATGTAAGATATTGTTCAAGACTGTTGAAATGGCCAGTTTACCATTAATATATTTTTAAGCCATATAAGTATTTATAAATCCCAATTTATATCATTAAATGATATCATGGATCACTCTGCATTGTTTAGAGTAATATTTCCATTATCACTGTTTGCTTCAAATGACTTAGATATTAACTAACCGAGATAGATAGGATACTGTCTGAACATTAGAATTTGTTAAAGCGGATATATCTCATGTATCCCCTTCCCTTAGCGGTATTAACTGGTCCCCTTATCTCAAAAGTCCTATTTCATGTTATCCTTAAATTTCGTAAAATACAAGGATAAGATAAAGAGTTTAGTTAGTTTTTTTCAGTTATCCTTCTTTTATGTCTTTGACTTTTTATTTAATTTATCATTTACAGTATTAGTAGGAGTTGCTTTATCAAGCGAATAGGTAACTACAATATTCAAAATACCACTAAGCTATATGAATCTTCTACAACTCCAACTCAGTTTCCCACTAAATTTGTAGTGGCTCTCGAATATCTGACTCTAATTGGATCATGTGATTATCGTGATCGGATTTTACATACTGTCAATCCTCACATATAATTATCGACTTAACTAGCGTTAATGGATAACAGGATTCAATAAAACAAATACGAGAATAAAGCTTGAATGCGTATATTTCATACAATCGTTGATCTAAACAAACAGTCAGAGAATCGCAGAGAAGGTAGCGAAGAGAAGAGAGAGAAGCGAAACAAAATGACGTGCAGAGGAGAAGTTGAGTAAACCAACTCGATTTAACCAAGCATTAATTAATATTTATATTCAGATAAAAACAAGTTACAGACATGTGATGTGTACGATAAGACATTCACACATACACTTACATAAATCAGTCAAGGTTGATAAGCAATTAATTAACAAAACCAAAATAGGACTCAAAAAGAATGAATAAATTGGCCTGTCCGGAAACTAGAATAATTTATATGGGCTTGACATAGCAACCGACAGATGAAATTATGAATTATTAAGTTTCAAATCATTGGTTGAATGATTACATGTTAAAATCTCGGTTTGAGCGAAATGATGAGCAGCCATTTTTTAGTGAGTAGTACTAGTAAAAAGTGTGCAACACAAATGAAGTCACTTATATCACTTTTACAAACATTATTACTTTTGTCGTGATCAAACTATTGAAAAGAAATAGAGTTGTAGTTTTCAATATCATTTACGTACATCTTAGTTTTAATCATGGTTTTTTTAAGTTACGATATTTTCAATTGTGATGTTTTCATGAAGTTTTAA